TAAAGTTACAGAACGAATTGAGGCGATTGCGGCCGCCGAGGAAGATGATGCAGACGATGAGCTCGAGGTGGAGGATATTGACTTGAAGAAAATGTTTTCTACGGGTCAATACCTAAGGGCATATGTTGTTTCTACCAGCGACGATACAAATACAGCCACACTATCAAAAGGAAAACGAAGAATCGAATTGTCCCTTCGACCACAACATGCCAATAATGGCGTCACTCCACAAAATCTCATCACCAATACCACTTTGATGGCATCTGTTACGAGTGTCGAAGATCACGGTTTAATTATGAACATTGGGCTTGAAGATTCTGGTATTCGTGGTTTCATGGGCGCAAAAGACATTGGTTACGAAGTAGTATTGGCCGATGTGCAAGAAGGTGCAGTGTTTTTGTGCATGGTCACTGGTCTGAGTTCTAACGGGAAGACTGTCAAACTATGCGCAGACACTCAGAAGATTGGCAATGTGAAGAAATCGAACTATCTCACAGATGCTCCAACAGTTGACGCCTTCCTCCCAGGAACTGCGGTCGAGACCTTGATCGTTGATGTCAGCTCCAGGGGCCTTACTGGAAAGGTCATGGGCATGGTTGACGTTACTGCAGATTTGATGCATTCTGGAACTAGTGTTATGAACCAGGAGCTGGAAAAGAAATTCAAGATCGGGGCTAAGGTCAGAGGAAGAGTTATTTGCACCTTTCCAAATTCGGACCCTCAAAAACTTGGTATCTCTCTTCTTGACCATGTTACGTCGTTGTCGCAACAGCAAGCGGGGAAGCCCGGAAACAAAGTAAATCCACTTGACACCCTACCTTTGTCTACCATCGTCGAAGAAGTTACAATCAAGAAAGTCGAGTCTGGAGTCGGTCTTTTTGTGGATGTGGGAGTCAAAGGGATTCCTGGGTTCATCCACATCTCTAGAGTCAAGGACGGCAAGATAGATACGTTGGAAGAAACAACGGGGCCATATAAGGTAGGCTCGGTCCACCGTGGTCGTGTCCTTGGTTACAACTCTCTTGATGGCGTATACCTCATTTCTTTGGAGAAAAGTGTTCTGGAACAGCCTTACTTGCGAATTGAAGATTTGAAGATTGGAGAGGTTGTAAAGGGAAAGGTTGAAAAGCTCATCGTTAATGACAAAGGTGTCGGCGGACTACTGGTTAATTTGGCCGAAAACATTTCTGGACTTGTTCCAGAAACTCACCTGGCAGATATACAATTGCTTCACCCCGAGAAGAAATTTAAGGAAGGAATGGCTGTTACGGCACGTGTTCTCTCTACAGATCCTGGAAAACGACAAATTCGATTAACGCTCAAGAAGACACTCGTCAATTCCGAGTCACCTGCTGTGATCTCGTATGATGACGTAACTGTTGGGATGCAAAGTCCTGGTACTATTGTGAATATTTTGAAGACTGGTGCGGTAGTTCAGTTTTACGGCACTGTTCGAGGGTTTTTGCCCGTCTCAGAAATGAGCGAGGCCTACATACAGGACCCTGGCCAACATTTCAAAATCGGACAAGTCGTCAACGTTCATGTTTTGAAGGTCGATCCTGAGGCCAAGAAATTAACTGTTTCTTGCAAAGATCCTTCTGTCTTTGGACTGGCACAGCAGAATGCGTTGAAGAATCTCAAAATTGGCGAAATCGTGTCCGCTCTTGTCATAGAAAAGTCGAACGACGACATTTCTGTCGAGATTCAAGGACTTGGATTGAAAGCGATACTACCTGTCGGTCATCTTTCTGATGGATCTGAGAACAAAAGCCGTTCTTCGTTCAAGAACATTCGCGTTGGTCAAGTATTGTCAGATCTTGCTGTCCTGGACAAGCTTGAGCAAAAGCGTTTGATAGTCCTGACGAATAAACCTGCACTTGTCAAGGCCGCCCAAAATAAGACTTTACTGAGAATGTTCGATGATGTCAAGGAAAAGAAGACAGTACATGGATTCGTTAAAAACATAACATTAACAGCAGTATTTGTGCAATTTGGAGGCGGTCTTACAGGGCTTCTGCCCAAGAACAAGATACCCGAGAAGAACCTTCGTTTACCAGACTTTGGATTTAAAAAATACCAAACAATAGAGGTCAAGGTTCTCACTATCGACCATGGACAACGGCGATTCCTTTTATCTATGGCTGATGCAACTTCCGACAAAAAGTCGAACGAGCCTTTAGCCCCTGGTACCAATCTGGAAGCTGTGAACCCTATCGATGAAACTATCAAGAGTATTGACGACATTACACTTGGTCGCCTGACGAAGGCAAGGGTTTCGTCCGTTAAAGATACTCAAGTAAATGTGCAACTTGCCGATAACATCCAAGGCCGAATTGATGTGTCACAAGCCTTTGACTCTTGGTCGGAGATAAAATCCAAAAAGCAGCCTCTCAAGTCATTCTCGCCAAAGCAAATTGTCGATGTTCGTGTTTTAGGAATACACGATGCGCGTAACCATCGCTTCCTGCCTATTAGTCACAGATCTGGCAAGACCTTAGTCTTTGAACTATCCGCTAAGCCCAGTGATCAAACTGAGTCTGCACAAGATCCTGTATCCTTGGACAAAATTGAAGTTGGCTCTTCTTGGTTAGCATTCGTCAATAACGTTGGAGCGGATTGCCTCTGGGTAAACCTATCTCCAAGCGTGCGTGGCCGAATCAGCGCTCTAGATGTATCAGATGATGTATCATTACTCAAGGACCTAGCAGCAAATTTTCCAGTTGGATCTGCCATTCGGGTTCACGTCAAGGGCGTCGATGTTGAAACAAACCGTCTAGATTTGTCTGCCCGCTCTGGTCAAGATTCCGAAGCCCTGACTTTTGATAAGCTAAGCCAAGGCATGATCGTACCAGGAAAAGTAACCAGAGTCAATGAAAGACAGGTAATGGTACAGCTTACTAATAGCATCTCTGCACCAATAAATCTCACGGACCTTTGCGACGACTATTCAGAAGCTGATCCTTCGAAATACTCCAAGAATGATATTGTTCGTGTTTGCGTTACTGATATCGACGTTCCAAACAAACGCGTTCGATTATCGACGAGAGCATCCAGAGTGATGAATTCATCAGCAGCAGTTCAAGATCCAGAAATATCATCCATTTCACAACTGAAAGTAAACGACATCGTGCGTGGATTTGTCAAACATGTTGCTGACAAGGGTCTGTTTGTCAACTTGGGTGGTAATGTGACAGCGTATGTTCGAATTTCCGACCTTTCGGATTCTTATATCAAAGACTGGAAATCCGAATTCCAGGTTGATCAATTGGTCAAAGGCAAAGTCACAGTTGTCGACGAGGTTTTGAACCATGTTCAATTGAGTCTTAAGCCTTCTGTTATCGACAAAGATTACGTTGCGCCTTTGACCTTCAATGATATCCAAGTGAACCAAGTTATTACCGGCAAGATTCGCAAAGTCGAGGATTTTGGTGTCTTTATTGTTGTCGATGGCTCTGCAAATGTGAGCGGCCTTTGTCACCAAAGTGAAATGGCCGAAAAGCGTGTTCACGATGTCAAAAAACTGTACTCTGAAGGTGATGCAGTTAAAGCTATCGTATTGAAAATGGACACCGAGAAGAAACGCATTAGTTTCTCTATGAAAGCTTCACACTTTGAGGACGGAAGCGAGTCTGACGATGAGAGTGATGATGACGGTGTGGATGGCGTCAAGCTTGACAGTATGGACATCGATGATGATGATGACGACGACAGTGAAGGCGGTATTGACCTCGATGATGTGCAAGACCTTGAAAGTGCCGCAGAGGACGGAGACGATGCCTCGGATTCTGACGAGGAAATGCCTGATGCTGAAGGCGATTTCCCTGCTCTTAGCGCAGGCGGATTTGATTGGTCTGCTGATCTCCTGGACCAAGCTGATGGCCAATCCAATGCAGATTCCGATGACGAAGCCGCCGAAGAGAAACCCAAAAAGAAGAAGAGAAAGGCGGAGATTAAGGTTGATAGAACAGGTGACCTTGATGCCAATGGGCCGCAATCTGTCAGTGACTTCGAGCGTCTCCTTCTGGGTCAGCCAGACTCTTCCAGTCTCTGGACCCAGTACATGGCTTTCCAGATGCAACTCAGCGAGCTAGGCAAGGCCAGAGAAATTGCTGAGCGTGCCATCAAAACTATCAACATGCGCGAGGAAACTGAGAAGCTTAATATCTGGCTCGCTCTTCTCAATCTGGAAATTGCTTATGGAAGTGATGAAACTGTCGAAGCTGTGTTTAAGCGAGCTTGCCAGTACAACGATGCCCAAGAGGTTCACGAGAGACTAGCTAGTATCTATATTCAATCTGGCAAAAACAAGGTAAGGAATACTTCCATATAATCTCAAAAAAATATAAGCTAACAGCCATACAGAAAGCCGATGAACTCTTCCAAGCTCTCACTAAGAAATTCTCACAATCCCCCAACGTTTGGGTCAATTATGCACACTTTCTTTTCAATACTCTCGGGGCCCCTGACCGTGGTCGTGCTCTCCTTCCACGTGCAATTCAGTCTCTTCCTCCACACACCCATCTTCCCTTGACGCTTAAATTTGCAGCTCTAGAATTCCGCTCTGAACACGGCTCTCCAGAACGTGGGCGCACAATTTTCGAGGGTGTTTTGGCAAAATGGAGTAAGCGATTGGATATCTGGGGCCAGCTTTTGGATCTGGAAATTAAGGCAGGTGATAAGAGCATTGTAAGGGGTGTTTTTGAACGAGTAGCTCGAATCAAAGGATTGAAACCCAAGGGTGCGATGGGGTGGTTCAAAAGATGGACCGAGTGGGAAGAGACTAATGGTGACAAAAAGTCACAAGAGAGAGTAACAGCGATTGCTGCGGAGTGGGTCAGAAATAGGTCTGGAAAGAAAGATGATGAGGAGTGATAGTCATCATGGTGAACCAGAAGATACCAAAAAAGCTTTGTACGGGCAATAAATTTTGATTGGGAAGGAAATGAACGGCGTAATGTAAATGTAGCACTAAATCAATCAAATTTTATATGTTAAGTAGATCATGTGCTGTATTCGATGACTTTCACAAAGAGATAATGTAGGCTACAAATAAATTAATGCTAAAGCTTTGAATAGCCAAAAATTCTTTTACAATGGTGTATAGAAGCTAGACAGGAATCTAATGATTCTTTTCAACTGTTCCTTGAAGCTTTCCTGCCTCGTTCTGCTGTTCTCGTAAAGCCTGCAGACTTTCGTCTAGAATGGCAATTTCCGCATCAACCTTTAACAATCTTTCCTTCAACATTCCTTCATACTCGTCATCAGATAATTTCTTCCACGGCACCCATTTCGAGTTCATCCAATCACCCCCACTCTTTTGATTTCCACCGTCCTCCAACCTCAACTCCTCCATCTTTCTCTCGTCCACAGCATCGTAGATCTTCTGTCCCACATATCCAGCAGCCCCAAAAACGACAAACCCAGGAAGAATATTCTTTGGGCCACGCAGTATACCTCCAGTAGCGCCAGCAAGGGAAGCAGCTAGGGAAGTGGAGATCGCTTTCTCTTGCGGCGTCGGGTATATAGACGCGGTCCTGTAACGGGAGAGAAGGGCAGTACGGGTTCCCCAGAAGGTGGTACCAAGAATGCCCCATTGAATAGAGCTGGCGACGGCGAAGAGAACTGGAGTTTGAGACACAAGGATACCAGAAAACCCACCAATTATAGTGCCAGAAAGTGCTGAAAGTGCTTGTTAGCTTTGATAGTATCAGAACAGTGGTAAGGTAACATGATTGATGTGTATAATTTGTGAGAGGGATAAGCGAGTTGTGTGAAGATTCACACGTGATAATGAATCGAAAGAGCTGCTGGGGCGTACAAATGTTTCTGTCTCTACAAATAGGAGATAGAGATGGAACGAGACTAGGACATACCAGAAAGGCCACCAAATTGTAGAGCAGGTTTTACAATATCCATCAACTCAGGAGGTAAATCACCCGATCTGGGGTCTTGGGACTGATTGCTGGGAGCCATTGAGGGAGAAGAGTCTTCCTTTGCTCTAGGAGTTGTCATATCGTCTCTTATTTTTCGAAGGGAACAAGAGTTTGGCTGCATGATACTAGTATGTGAGCGTCTGAGATTTATATCATGATGTTATTCCGATTCTGAGGCTCCACTTGTCAATCAACCAACATAAAATTGGTATAGATAACCTCTAGTCTTGACTGAATGAAGAGGATGAATATAAATTCCACCTACATATTTACTGTGCAATGTCGTGTCTTTATCTGACTGAGATATCAAAACTGCGTACCTACTAGTACCTGCCTATGTATATACGAGACGGGATTTATATCTAGTGGGTACTTAACTATTTTATCGTATCCAATGGGAGATAATTCCCTCCTTAGAAAATCCAATATATAAAAATACGAATTATCTATGAAATGTGAATATGTAAATGTAATAATTATTGATACGACTTCGATGAAAAATTCCATATCATTGAACAAACGCAAATTCACTAACACAGCGCCAGTGAAAGAATTTGCCCCACTAGTTTCGCACAACCCTTGTCAAACTTCGCACTTTTAATAATTCTTCCATTTTGGAATCTAAACCCACCACGAAGAACCTCGACCTCTTCTTACCCATACACAAAAAGATATTCGACGAGCCTCGAATATCCCAAGGAATACCTAAACCTTAAATACACACGATCGATTGAAGGGACTTAGTAGTACCTTCGATACTCTGTCTCGGACAACGCGCAAACACTTTTGCGCAGCGTCCTAAGAAAAAAAACCGCAATCATGGGTAAGCGCTCCCCCTCACCTTTCATCGACTATCGCGACCATGATACTGTCGGTGTGGGTCTTCAAACTATCGAGTATATAATAGCTAATTGTAGTTGTGCCATAGCTCCTAAGAAGAAGGACCAGCAGAAGATGTCCCTCGGGTCCTTCTTGGCTGACGAGAGTATGAAAACACCTACCGTCCTCGCACAAGAACCTTTTTCATACTGATATCGATGTAGAGTTGGGATCATGGGCCGATGAGATGGAAGATATGCCAGTTTGTAAGTTATTCTATTCCTATATCGATTTGGAGCCTTGCTAATTTCCATCTATTACAGCCGGTATGTGAATACAAACGCACATGGATCGTGGCCAATTTCGCAAAATATGAATACTGATTATGATAGACTCACGTCCTTCTGGATATGGTGGAAGCAGCAATGAGAGACGTACCTATAGCTCTACCACTGGTACTTATGGCAACAATGCCGGAGGTAAATCTCTCCCATCACCTTCCTTCAAATCACCCTTTTCAATGATTTTCTAATTCTAACCTTCAATAGGTTATTCCGTTCGCGAGGAACTCCCTCTTCCCGACAAGCCACCGTACACTGTTCATCTTGGAAACCTTTCATTCGATGCTACCGTCGGCGATGTTAACGAATTTTTCGTCGGCTGCGAATGTATCAATGTTCGCATCATTGAGGATAAGATGGAGATGAAACCAAAGGGATTCGGATATGCAGAATTCGGCTCTTTGGAGGGTCTTAAGTCCGCCTTGACTTTGAACCAAACTCAGTTCCAAGGACGTAACATTAGAATCAGTGTTGCTGACCCTCGTAAGTTTGATACCCTTCGTACTTGCGCTATCCACTAATATGTGCTACAGCGAAGGATCGTGGTGACCGTCCAGATGTACGAGAGCTTGGAGACTGGAGTAGAAAGGGACCCCTACCTGATTTACCGGGCCGTGGAGGAGAGCGTCGCCCTTCGGATCGAGGATACCAATCTAGCCGTTTTGGCGAGGAAGGCGGCGAGCGTAGAGCCCCCCGTGAGCCCGAAAGTGATGGCAAGGTTCGAGACTTTGGAAACTGGGAACGAAAGGGTCCACTTTCACCCCTCGCCCAACAGGAGCGTGCTCCAAGAGAAGGTGGCCGACCCCGAACAAACGATGGACCAAGAGCCGAAGGTTTCAGAGACCGCAAAGCTTCACCAGCTGCCTGGGGTGAAGGTAGATCTCAAGGTCAAGGCTCTGGCTCGCAAGAAGGATCAAGACCACCCAGACGTGAGTTTCAAGAGCGACCCACCGCTGAGCGTGCGCCCACCGCCGCCGATCAAGACAATCAATGGCGTAGCAAAATGCGACCCGACCCACCAGCTGCACCAGCCGCAAAGTCACCTGTTCTATCCCGTGAAGGGAGCGAGGCTCCAGCTTCTCCAGCCCTCCCATCTGCCCCAACTGGTGGTAGACCAAGATTGAACCTTGCAAAGCGCACCGTTTCCGAGGCCCCTGCTGACTCGTCCTCGTCATCTGCCGCAGGTGATGCGAAGGCAAGCCCATTTGGAGCTGCTCGTCCAATTGATACTGCCGCAAAGGAGAAGGAAATTGAGGAGAAGCGACAACAGGCCATCAAAGAGAAAAAGGAGGCCGATGAGAAGGCCAAGCAGGAGAGAGAAGCTGCAAAGGCTAAGGAAACTGAAGACAACGAGAAGAAAGTTGAAATCATGCAACGTGAAGGCGAAGAAGCAACAAAGGAAGGAGAGACAATTGAAACTGAGAATGCAAACGGCGAGATTGTTGACGATAAGGCTGTCAAACCAAAAGAGATTGTTAGAGATGCCAAACCTAAACCATCTGACACAGGAGCCTGGAGACGTCCATCTGGACCTAAACCACCCAGGGATGACATTCCAAGAGGACCCAGGGGTAGAGGTGATTATGCACCAAGAGGCCCACGACACAATGATGGAGGAAGGAACCACAGACAAAATTCAAATGGCGGAGGACAAAATGCGACTGCACCAGCCCAAAGCCCTGCTGCTACAACTGAAACTGCAGTCATGGAAGAGGATGGCTGGAGCACGGTGTCTAAACCCAAGAAAAATAACCGTGGTGGTAACGCAGGCCAACGTGCTATTGCTTCTTAGATAACAGATTTTAAGAGGCGTCAAGTTTTCAATGAAACATTGACAAACCGGGCCAGCATTCTCGGTGCACTGAGCGTGACTCTGCTGCTCCTGCATGGCAAAAAGATTAATTTTCTGATGCTCAATTCTCAAAACGATTTCCTTCGGCGTTGGATTCACATAAATCTTTGTGCCTAGATTTTCATTATGCCCATGTTTAGCCTCACTGGTCCAGAACAATATCACAGACCGACAACATAAACAAAGCTTTTCTGGAATTAACTCTACTTTGCTATACTAGTAAAATCTGGATTGAATATGGGCGGTCTTTACACCAATGTTATCTACCTCTTCGGGGCGCATGGTGTTATTGACTGGCATGTTAGACTATCTGTCATATCATACACTTGGGTCTGTTGGGGTCTATTGTGTGTTGTTTCACTGGTCTGCTCTCCTGTTTCCCAAAAAGTAAGCCTGGGCATACAAAAGTTATCTATCTTGGAGGAATAATGGATGATCCTCACTCTCACATTCCCCATGTTTGTTCATACAGCCAATTGCGTGCTATCATCCTATTATATTTTGACTGCAATTATGGATTCACGTCTCTCAACGACCCTATCAGTAACAAGATGAATTTGAATGATAACGTGAAATAAGATGACCATGATTTCAGAATGACTGAGGGTTTCCTGTGCGTCTTCCGTTGATTGTTGTATCTGTGTTTGCATCTTTGAGATTTTTATTTGTATGTTGCTAGGGAATGAAAGAAGAAAAGAGATCTACTAAAGTCATCTCTAGATGTCCAATGTGAAGAACTAACAGAATTTAAACAAAATTGAGCGAATAATATATTTGCTAACTACCTGGTACCTATGTATATCACAACAGTAATCAACACATGAAAGGGTTACATCCAGTCTGTGACAATAGCATTTTTATACTCCTAGGTATACTGTTTGATCCCGTCACTCTTCACACATTCTAACCGGACAGCCTGGTTGTCAAATAACGAATTGTAATGATATGCACATTTCCTTGGCTAATTCCTTTGCTAGCATTAAGATATAAGATATAAAGCTATGCTCTCTTGAAAGTTTTTTCCCTGATGTTTTCCTTGATAATGTGCAGTACGTTTTTTTTTGTCAAGTGTTATCCGGGATAGAGTTATTCCGATTTTATTTCCACTCATTCCAGAACAATCTCTTAATATTTCCTTAAAAAGTCCCTTAATACGGGAGCTAAACATGTCTAGTGCACAGTAGGTCAGGTCCATGATCAGTTTGTCAAAAGCATTTCCTTTATTGTTCTCAATTTCTATAAATTTCTATTCCCACAATATATTGATTGATCAAGCAAAAGTGTGTAAGGAGGTACATATTTAACACCCACAACATTCATGATTCTCTATTGATTGTATGTAATTCATACTTTTACTAATATCATGAATTATCATGGTGAATTCTAAACTCTATTTGGTGGTATTCAGACACGTGATCAATACTAGTGTAGATCTCTGCATAACAGCCCTTTGAGTCGTGCCTGCCTGCAAGTCTTTATTATTAGTCCTCTATAGATTTACTCTTTCAAGATATACACTGCATACAATACATACCTCCTTCAACTTTCACATCACTCAGCCTTTACACCCATCTTAGAATTACCAGCGAGCATATTTTAATCTATTATTTTGTATTTGTTTACTCTCTTTCTTATTCTGAAAATCTGCAGGAATGAGCTTGAATTTCGGACTAACGAACATTAAACCTGTGGCACCAAAATTCAAATCCGAAAAGGTTCCAAAACAGAGGCCGACTTTATCTAGTAGGACATCCAGTAATGGCCTTCGAATTGGGACACCTGTATCAAAATTCACTGATGCCCGTGGCAGACTAGCCGTCCCAAGCCCTCCCCCCGAGGCAGGAAAGAAAAGGAAAGAAAGAGAAATCAGCGGAAGCCGTAACACTAAGAAAAACGCAAGCCTAACTCTTCGAAAAAGCCCGAGTCAACAACCGTTGACAAGTGATAGCGAGGAAGATGAAGAGGTGGCCGTGTCTTCCAAACGGGCCAAGCCGGAAAATATCGAGCCCGATTTGAAGAGGAATCTGAAGGACAAGAAAGCCTTTTCGACGGAATCCGATAATGCGCAAGGCTCTACATGTAGAATGATCCACGCGGCCGATGTCATGATGACGAAACGCACGGCTAAGAGCGGCGAGAAAGTTTGCGATAGAAAGAAGGAAGAGGGTGATGCGGTCCTTCTCAGATATCCCAGTGTCAGTCGAAGAGAAAGGTAATGTCTACTAAATTCAACTTCTATATTCTGATGTCAAACCTAGCTAATCAATGCCGTCACTACAGATACCAACTCATCTCCGAAGGTGAGGTTATCGATCCCGCAGGAGAAGATTTGATCAACCCTTATGACGAAATACCAAAGATTGTGGAAATTGTAAAGGATGAATATTTGACCGAGGAACAAGCAGCGGAGTTTGCACATCCAGAAACAGGTATAATTCGGAAAATCAACAAAGCGACGAACAATATTACTTGGACTCTGTCCACCGCAAAAAGGCCCCACGACAAAGAGAAAATGAAGGGGCTGTTGCTTGAGTTCAGGAATGCTGTGGGGGCTTATAATGACGCGCTCAGCACTCTCACCAAAAATGGATCGCTGGCGAAAAACTTAGAAAATAAACACTCACTATCGTCTAAGCTTCTCAAGATGGTACTCCAGCAAGTTTACGACCGAGCAGTGTCTCCTCAAGTTGACTTGACTAATAAATACCAAAATGGCACGGATTATGTTTACGGCGAGCTCACATTCCCATTCATTTCCCGAATTCTCAGGGAAGACACTCGGATGAAATCTGATCAAGTTTTCATAGATCTTGGTTCGGGAGTAGGAAATGTCGTCGTGCATGCCGCGCTACAAGTTGGTTGCGAAAGTTGGGGTTGCGAAATAATGCCTAACTGCTGTAAGCTGGCTTCCTTACAACAGACGGAATTTTCTGCACGTTGCAGGGCCTGGGGCCTCAGCGCCGGGTCAGTCAACCTCGAGGAAGGGAATTTCTTGAATAACGAAAACATTCTCAAAGTGATGAAGAGAGCTGATGTTATCTTGGTTAACAACCAAGTCTTCGCGCCTGCTTTGAACCAAAGTCTTGTGAACCTATTTTTGGATTTAAAAGAGGGTTGCAAGATTGTGAGTTTAAAAACTTTCGTGCCGGATGGCCATGTCATTAATTCTTACAATGAACACAATCCCATCAATTTACTGCGAGTCGAAAAGAAGACTTACGCAGAAGGCGACGTTAGTTGGCATTCCAACGGAGGAGATTACTACGTTGCTACGAAGGACAGCACTATCGTGGCTAACTATCACAAGACCCCAAAGGATAGAAAGACACGGGGGGGTCGGGTTAGATGATTTGTGAATTTGAATATACGGTTTCCTTACATAGTTGATACCATTGGGCAGGTTATTATTGGGTACTTAAGTACAAAGCGATATCACAGCAAGTTGGCATAGAGTAGATGTTTGGAAAAATGAATGTATTTGTAACAGCAACCATTATTCGTTCACTTATTATCCTTCTCGGTGGTCTTAAGACAGAGCGTGATAAGCTTGGATCAAGCGTCAATTTCTTGCATCAGGTCCCAAACCTCTTATTCATTTCATCTGCCTCCCTGCCTTTCTGAGCCATCCACCTGTCAATCAACTCTTTATTCTCCGCTTTTGCTCTTTTCTCATTCTGCTCTGCTATATTAAGCTGCAAATTCAGAGATATCATCTCATCCTGCACATCATGAAACCCCTTGGTCTTAGCTCGCAACTCCTCATCCCGATCCCTAATTTTCCTCTCTAAAATATTTCGTTCTCGAGTTAAAGTTTCTAATTGTTTGGACACTGAAGCGCTTTTGGTGCGTAAAGCCTGGAGTGAGGTTTCGGTGGTCTTCAAACGCGATTGGAAGTGCGAAGAGGAACGGAGTGCTTCGGACAAGGAAGCACGGAGCTGAAGGACCTCGGAGGAGGTTGCATTTTTGGATATTGCTTTTTGAGATGTGGCGGAAGAAGAGAGGGATGAGGGGTTGGCGGAGGTAGATGAGGTGTCGTGAGCAGCAGCAGCAGCAGTTTGAGCAGAGACTTTGTCGAGCAGCTGAGTATCTTTTGCAAGTTATTAGACTTGAGACAAAGTTCATTTCAGAAGGGGTGCCATACAAGCGTCTATGAAGGAAGGATCAAAGCGCTGGTAGCTAGTTTGTTCGCGCTCATCGCGATCTTGTAGAGCCCTTATATAATCATCGCGCCAGGAAGCCATTGTTTCGTTCTCTTGGTTGCTGACGTATAAGTTGAGGTTTCATTGCTTTGAAAATCCAGGTAGTTATTCGTCAATAAACAATCATAGAATGCGATCTCTTTCTACCTATAGTAGATTTCCACGAGGAGTTGAATTTATGAATAATAAGGGTTGTTGATGAAAAATTCAGCCTGGTAGTTTCATGTACGAGAAGCTGCAAGTGTATGGATATATAAGGAAGTTCTCTAATGCAGTAGGTATGCATGTGTGAATGTGTGCTGGTACTGTGGATGAGCTGTAGCCTCTTGTGGTGGGATAGACCTCGATAAGCAAATACTGATAGGACCAAGCGGCCGGCGCTAGCGGGTTTCCGATGGATGGCTGGATAGCTGAATGGCTGGATGGGGCAATTTGTTGAAGAGGCACGAGCACGAGGCAAGCACTAAAGCTTAAAGTTACCGATGTAATGTTCCTCCTCCTCGATTAACGTAACCAAACCTATATTAAGTATTACACCAATACATACATAACCCGAAGTCTTGAAAGGAAAATAAGAATCCTTTCCATCACGACCGAAAAGTTTCTCTATTCTACGTGCTTACACTCCTTTTTTGTTCAAGAAAGAGATCGAGGCAAGGGAGAAAGTTAGCGCTTCGTGAGGAAGATTAGATCAAGCACAAGCTAGGCAAAGATGGCTTCACGCAAGAAGGTTTTATTGAAGGTAAGGACTGCTGTTGAGGATCTGATGATTAGTTTGGTGCTGATCTGAGATCCGCAGGTTATTATCCTCGGCGATAGCGGTGTAGGAAAGACGAGTTTGATGAACCAATATGTACGTCGAATACCTATCGAGCGTCTTTCAATCGCGACGTATACGCCGATACTAGAGACTGATACCGGATTAGGTCAACAAGAAATTCAGTGCAAGCTACAAGGCGACTATTGGGGCGGATTTCTTGACAAAGGAAGTCCTGGTCGATGATCGATTAGTTACTATGCAGGTGAGGGCTTCACGCTTTTTATGGCAACCTAGGATTTGGTAGCTGATGATTGGATATAGCTTTGGGATACAGCAGGTCAGGAGCGTTTCCAATCGTTAGGGGTCGCATTCTACAGAGGAGCGGATTGCTGTGTCCTTGTCTACGACGTGAACAATTCAAAGAGTTTTGATACATTGGATAGTTGGAGGGATGAATTCCTGATCCAGGCCTCGCCCAGAGATCCAGAAAGCTTTCCGTTTGTAAGTTTGGCAATCTTACGGGAATTCGACATGGCACTGACAGTCACATAGGTCGTTCTAGGCAACAAAATTGATGTCGAAGAGAACAAGAGAGTGGTAAGTTTAGTATTGGAGCGATTGTATAATATCTTTGCTAATCGTGGTTCAGATTTCCTCAAAACGGGCTATGACTTTCTGTACTTCAAAGGGCAATATTCCATACTTCGAAACAAGTGCAAAAGAGGCCATCAATGTTGAGCAAGCCTTTGAAGGTAACTAACTTTCGAGTTTCTCGAACAGATCCTAGCTAATTCAAATCTAGTAATTGCAAGAAACGCCCTAGCACAGGAGGAATCGGAGGAATACAACGGAGATTACTCAGATCCAATCAACATCCACATCGAGAACGATAGAGATGGTTGTGCCTGCTAAATGGCACTTGGTTGGGTCCGGAAAGCATTGGTCTCGTTTTCTCTCTCTCTACTCTACCCTTTCAACCACTGAGGGAATTATACTGGAAGTTTTGATGAGAAGGTCGTCAACTGTACATAAGGATCATTCTGGCGCTATTGGGTCTGCGATTTTCTTATTTCCTTGATGATACAGAACGCATAATGAGAAAGACGGTTTTATAGTTCTGTAATGAAAGCATCTTTGATTGAACCAAATTATTCGATAGAACAAGTAGTTATCTGTGATAGATGTGAGTCTTGTGCGAAGTAGAGTAGTGCAACATAAATCGACATTGAAACAAGGTTACCTTTGGACCCCCTTCGAACCCCATTCTCTTGGATAAAGTTTTGGTTTGATAACGATTAGCGCAAAGAAACTATCTGGGTACATATAAGCCAAGCGATAAAGGGCTATTTATTTTCCTCAAATGAGAATGTCTTGGTTTTAGTTACAGTAATGTAAGCCTTCACTTGGCGTGGCTTTCACTTGATAACTTGTGTTTCTGTCTCCTACTCAAAGTCTAACTAGCAGAGGGATTGTTAATGATTGCGATCGCGTGCTAAATCCTTCGTATTCCGAATTCACTGCTACCTCATCCATATAGGGACCTATCACGCATCGAAGACGAACATCGGATTCGCACTTCAATAATATCTACATGGCATCATAAGACCTATTATACTATTAAATGCATCAACATATATGCATATGTCTACGACCTCCATGATCTTTTGGAATTCCAAACGAAACTCACATCATCAACATCGCTCGGATTTCAGTTGCATAGGTGGGATATAGATAAGATAAAAGGCGTTTAAAGGACGAGATCTCGCAACTTGATCCAAGAACAACGGCGCAATCAATTCAACTCGGCGCGATGAGTGCGTCGGCGGATTCTGCTACAATGCAGACACACACTCAGAGAATATCGCTGGAAAGGACGATCACAGGCACAAGTGCAACTGCAAGTACCGGTAGTAAGAATGTGGGATTCAGAGCCGGAGTTGGCCTTGAGAATGTAGCGCGCAGGACTCTGGGGATGGTATTATTGGGAGTTACAGTGATGTTGTGGACGAGTAGTAATTTTCTTGCCAGTGTGAGTATGCTTCTCATTTGGCAAGCTTCGGATATTGAGCTGGGAAACTATCAAGGAATTCGAATACCCAATACTAATACTGAGATTGATAGTACATATTCGCCGATAATACCTATTCGAAACCATATTTTGTTACATATATCAACACATCATTCTTTGCTGTATCGTTGATTCCTATATTTCTACGAATTTCGAGAGAGCATGGCTGGTCACATGTGAAGGATTCAGCTGTGGACTACTATCATGACCAATTATCAGAATACCGCACTGGGCTCCAGAATCTCCGCAAAGGGCGGTATCGCCAAGGATCCAGTCGAGAAGACCAAGAGTACGATTCTATGGGCGCTTCTCATTCCCGACTCCTAAGCTCTACCGACGACCTTGATACAGATCTTCCGCAGCCACAAGAACAAGAGAAGGAAGACAGGTTAAGTGTATCCGAGACCGCAAAACTTTCTCTCGAGTTCTCGCTTCTCTGGTTCATAGCCAATTATCTCGTGGCCGGCTGTCTCGAATACACATCCGTAGCCTCCTCCACAATCTTGACCTCCACTTCCTCAATTTTCACACTTCTCTTTGGGGCGCTCGTTCGTGTCGAATCCTTCAGCGTCCGCAAACTCCTCGGTGTTCTGGCTTCCTTCGTAGGCATCATCCTCATTTCGTCTGTCGATCTAGGGAGTACGGATAATGACTCAAACCGTGGGAACTTTCCCCACAAATCCCAAGCGCAAATTGCGATTGGCGATATTATGGCTTTTGGGAGCGCGGTGATGTATGGGCTATATGCGGTTGTAATGAAAAAGCGCTGCGGTAATGAAGATCGTGTCGATATGCCGCTATTCTTTGGACTCGTTGGATTTTTCAACGTTGTGTTTCTTTGGCCCGGTTTCTTTATTTTGCATTTCAGTGGCATAGAAACTTTCGAGCTACCTCCCACTGGCAAAATCTGGCTCATAGTATTATTGAACTCGTTAAGCAGTTTTATAAGCGACTACTGCTGGGCGTATGCGATGCTGTTGACAACGCCATTGGTAGTGACTGTAGGCTTGAGTATGACGATCCCGTTGAGTTTGGTGGGCCAGATGTGGTTGAATGATCAGACAAGCACTGCGATTTATTGGGTGGGTGCATTGGTTGTGGTGGGAAGTTTTGTGTTTGTTAATCATGAGAGTAAGGATGAGGAGAAGGGGGAGCCAGGGGATGGAAGAACCATACCCATCGTGATTGTTGTGGATCATGATGAGCGAAGAGATGAAGTGGTTTAGATCTCTAGAGGCAAGGAAATTAGACTTGGAGTTTTGTTTCGAATTTGGGATGCATTCTAATGTTCTTGGAGGGATATACTTGGGTCCATTTTAGTGCCATAGGGCCCGGATATTGGATCTAGTTTTTGAGATTGCATCTAAATCTATAGATAATTTCTACATCGTTTGTATGTTAAAGAATCGAACTGACAAGAGTGAGCTTTGCCTTCATGCCCTGCCATCTACCTGGGCTTGACACTTGCATTGAGCGCCAATTGGCACTCACACTTAGGTACCATCTCATCCACCGGAATAACGTATTTGAGATATCATCAAATCCAACACCGTAAAACCCAAACAAAACTCATCATCAACCCCAATCATGGTATTGTGAAATACACTAATTATCACCCCAACTTGAACAACTAATATCCCAAACGCCTTAAAGGGTATCTAACGCAAAATCTTTCATAAGGTTACCCGAACCCATCTCTTGCTCCTAATGCTTTCTCCCATCCTTACAATTAACATGCACGACTTTATGCTTAGGAGAAGAATTTCCACCTTCAATAACCACAGCTGTAAGCTTGCCGCCTTTCAAACACCCCGTATCCAAGCCCATACTGTATCTCTCTAATTGGAGACCTCGCTTGGAGTCGTGGCCGTAGATGACTGTAGTGCGTTCTTTCTTTGGTAGTTTCTTCTGATGTTTGTTCCAGACCTATTGGTTTTTGTGGTTAGGAAGATTCTGAGATAGTGGCATGTGAGCAGCTCTTACCTTGTTCCAATGTTTCCCATCTCTTTCGTCGCTGGGTACCCCATCAACCAAAGTCCGCATGTTCATAACCATAAATGGATCCTGTCTTTCCAATTCAACTCCGGGAGCCAGCCCAGCATGAACAACCACCACCTGCTCCATTCCATCCAAATGGCCTACTCTCAGAATCACAGGGCATTTCTTCAGCCACTTAATCCTCTTCTCCCCCAGCGCCCGCACCAATGCTCGATCCTTGTAATCTCCATGATTGAAGCTAATCTCCTCCAACCCATCGACTACTTTCTCCGGATCTTCACTCGGGCCAGGTGCATCCATCTCCATCTCCTTATGCTGTGCTATCATATCGGCATGTGCGAGAATAATCCTATCCTCATGGTTTCCCCTCACGGCAGAAGCTCCGATTTTCATGGCAAGATCAACCACACCTGGAGAATCGGGGCCTTTGGATATCATATCGCCAGCCAATATCAAATGGTCGTGTTTCTCATCGAAGTTTACTTTGTCGAGTAAACTCACCAACGCATCTTTCATTCCATGCACATCGCCCACGATGATTAGGCGATTTGGTTTCCTGTGTTTGCCTGTCTGCGGCAGGTAATTCGAAGGTAGATTCATTAGGTGTATCATATCTGTAAAAGCGGGTTGCGCATTGGTTCCATATTCGTGTTGTATAATCTCTCCACTCTCCTCGTCCATGGTTAATTTGGCATGAGATGTAGAGCTTTGGCGGAAGTAAACTGTATATGGAATCCAAGTGAAAGTAAAGGCGAGTAGGAGATAAAGGATAATGTTTCTTTTCGAGCGCGCATTTTTCTTCTGGGGCCGCATCTCCAATGGAGGACCGGTGGCGTGGATAGGTAGTGACGGCATCCGTAAGGATATGCTGTGGTTGCTGGTGTGGTTACATATGACGTCCACAACACAGGTCGAATATGCAACGAGGGAATAGAAGTTCTGGTTCGTTACTTATAATCTTCTTTCAAAGGAAATGGGCATGGATCAGCCAACGGCCTGTGAATTGAGATGGAGTTTGAGACGTTCCCCTTGCGAAAGTTTACAATCACTTCTTCGTTCTGATAATTCTCCGTCTCGATTAAAGTGCATTCATATCAGATCATATGATATTTGTGAAAGACGAAGAAGCTGACGAGATGAGGATATACTTGGCTTGCTTCGCCAATACGGCAAAACGGCATCCCGATTCGTGAAGACCTTGATGTCTCATTATCCTTTCATAAAAGATGAGTGATGACCAGGTATATACTGTACCTACAGCTCGGTACCGGATTTGATACGTGCAATGCACAGTGAGGTTGGGGCACATGATGTGGGTTGACGTAATAACCCGCCATTGCTAACTTGGCACTTCACGTCAAAACGTTTCTAGTGTCACGATACACGTTGCGCACACCCGACCGGTACGTGTAGGACAGCAATGTCGTATTGATCACGTTATGTGAGATAAGTTACTGATTCCATGTAGCATGACAGCCGAATGGTCCGAATACAACTTCTCAGAACTAGAGAAGACCGTCATAAGTATGTATAATCTGATTCTTTCAACGGATGAAGTCGTAATGGCATCTGCAGCCAAGGGTTTAGAAGTTTATCAGCACAATGAGCATCATGAGCCTGATAAAATCTCCGAGGGTTGCACTAAACCACGCTCCTCGACTTTGATTGATAGGCAGCAGAGGCAGCATAAGCTACCACTATAGTGAGCTCCAGGACGTAGTAGTAGTGATCACAGAGTTTGCTTGGGATGTCAAACCTCCCCTATTGCAGTGGTTTGAATGTCTGTATAAGGATTGGAGATTGAAAGTACATATTTCCAAGTCGGCTCTTGCCCTTAGTTAGTTTC